AGTATTTTTATATTCCTCTAATAAAAGAACATCGATCTAGGGTGAAACCAGAAATTTATTTTTCAGGGTCTACCAAAAAAAAAAAAAAATATATATATATATATGGTTTATTAAAGAGTTAATGACACATTAACCTCTAAGATAAAAATAACAAAATCTCTTTAAGGTTTCAAATTTAACAACAATCCTTCTATAGTTAAATTTTGAGTATTAACATAAATGATAAAAAAGTAATTTGATAATATTTATTAGAAGCCTTATAAATATTATTGTTATTATATTATACCTTAGCGAGTCTAGTTTTTAACCTTAAAAAAATTAGAAATTGATGCTTATTAATAAGAAAAATCATACAATTATCGGAAAAAAATACACCGAATTTACGCATCGATAGACGTGACACCATCTTGATCATCTATTAATTATGAATTTTTTTTTTTTTTTAAGAAAAGCAAATGATGCCAGATATGTTGGTGTATGAATTCAATGTATTTTTTTCGGTAACTATAACATTGTTCTATTAATAAATTGTATATTTATTGTTAATATAATAAGTTTTATAATTTAAAATTTAGATTTTATTTTAAAAAGAATGGAAGACTTGTAAATTTGACTCAAGTCAACTAATTGTTTTTATTACATAATTTAAAACAATTAAACCCAAATGACGGAGAAACATCTACCGAGCTATATTTATTGTTTTTATTTGGCATGCAAGAGATGAAGAATAGATAATAAATAAATGAATGGATAGCCACAAGGCTGATTGCAAAGCAAAAGAGTCTATATCCGAGGAATTTAAATCACAATGTTTTTAGAAATTAATAAAGTCTAAAAGGGTATATTAGAATTTAGCTTCAATATAACATTAATTAATACCATAAACAATTCCTAAAGTATATATCAACCGATTGCGCCCAACTCCAATAAAGCTTGTTATTATTACTATAAAAATATTAAACTCTTGACTAGGACTTAATTAAACTAAAACTTTGAAGACCGATTAAATTGTAAAATATTTTAAAGCATCTTAATTTGACCACACAAAAATATACATTAACTTGAAAGTTATTTTGTTAATACTCATATAGCTTGATTGACAAGAAATGTATAATATTTCTTAATCAAGGTGCTCCAATGTTAATGTGGTTTGGTTTGTAGCATCTATACCCATCCAAATTAATGTTAGTTGAGTAGTAATTACTAATTATTTTATATATATTTTTTTACTTAAGTGGAGATATAAAGTCTTGATTATGTTAATTATGTAATTAGCGAAGGCCAAACAACGTCTTCCCACCCAATGTTCTGAAACAAGACCCGTTGTGTCACCAGACCAAGGAGCCAGGTCTTGGGTTAATCGATTCGACTAGTTAAACCGTCGGTCTATCGGTGATTCAATAAGTTTAAAATCTTGCAAACACACCCCTTAAAATTATCAACAGTCTCTAAAAGTTTGAAATATATCAATACATGACCCTAAATTGATTTTTCCAGCTGATTCTGATGGCCAAAATTCAAAATGGTGTCGCTTAACTGTGTTACTACTTGTTCAAGATTTTGAGGTTCTTCCCTGAAGGGTTCGACGTTGCTTTCAACTGCAGCCTTGAACAAATGGGGATCCATGGGTTTGATTGAATAGGAAAAGAATCCATTGCTCTTATGAAGAGCAGAAGATGAAGACCCAAGTCAAAGTCCACCTTCGACGCAAAGAAGAAGGCAAGAAAAATTTCCTTATGTTGGAAAAGTAAAATAAAAAGTAGCACTTCAGTAACTAATAATCACAAATGACCCCTACAAATCAGAAAATATCACATGGAGGTCCCTTCAATATTTAATTATTTGTCATGCTAACCTAACCTTTCCTTTAAAATTTTGTTGTTTTCCAACATAATTATTGGCATCCTATTAATTACATCTAATAAAATGATATTAAAAGAAGAATACCTAATAATTTGGTTTAATTTAATTAGTTAAAAATAAAAGGTTTATAAATATGTAATTTTCTATTTGTAGAAGTTCTTTTATAACTATATGCTAATTCTTTTTGGAATTTTCAAACTTCTACTTTAACGCTAAAAATAGTGATTGAGAAAAAAAAAAAATGTACATTTCAAAGAGTTATTTTAACGTATATTCTGTCGAACAAAAAATTTGATTATTTTGATACATTTAATTGTAAAAATATGAAAAAAAAAACACATATTTCAATTCTTTGATATAATTAATTTTCGTTGTTCAATTATCTAAATAACGTACATGTAAGATAATATATTAAGACAACTCATTTAAAAAAAAGGGGTTAATGTAGTTTTTTAAAGTTGAGGGGGTAAATAGAAAATATTTTGTGGGGTAATGCAATGACCTGGGATCAAAAAATGTCAGACATTTAACATGTAAAGAAGCAAATATGTTTAGTTCTAATGACACATCAATGATTTAACTTTACATTGGCTTATTGTACTTGAGATCATATTTCATAATTAGAATCATCGATTAGAAGCCTAATACACCAAAAACATGTACATATCTACTAAATATTGGCATTCGTATTTTAATTTATTATGTTACTAGACATTAGATCTGCGCGTTACACGGGTATGTTTATTCAATGTTTTTAAAATAGATTATAAAAAAATTTATTATAAATAAGAAACTAATTGATTCAGATATAATAATTGTTAAACAATACAAACACTAAAGTAAATAGAGATTGTATATATATATACAAAGTTGTGTTAAGAAAAAATTAATAATTGTAGGTATATAATTATTAATATCAATTATAGATAGATATCATTAAAGTCTAATCTTTATATGTTTTTGTTTAGACTTTTGAATGCACTTATATAATCGTTATTAATACACATCCAATGTGTTAAAATGGTTAGACTTTTGGAATGTCAATGTAATATACCTATATAATTATTATTAATACTTATTTAACGTGTAAAGATAGAGCAATTAATTCAAAACCAATGTGTCAAGATAGAGAAATTTTAGTAGGCTCATTAGACCGTAAATCCAATGTGTCAATACAAGGAACAATTGTACACCCACAAAATGAGTACTAAATGTCAATCAGCCAATGAGTAACATTGAGATCAAGAAAAAGTGGAACATAGAGAATAATACTTTTATTATAAAAGAAATAAGTACATCGGTTTTTCATACTGTGAAGTAGGTTTGGATGATATAGGTGGTGTTTGTTGTCTATTTCTCTTAGGGGCCGTTTAGATCGGGGGTAAATAAGATAACAAGGGTAATATTCGTTTATTTTGCAATATTCGTGTGTTTGGTTTGCAAGTAATAAAATATTATGATAATCTTTTATTGTAAGTAATATTTACTGTTGGTAATGTGGAGGGTGATCTTATTACCTTATTAGGGGTATTATTAAAACACTACTGAGGTAATATGATTTTTCTTCCCATTTTATCCTTAATTAGAAACCATTTTGGACATAATTACTCTCAAATGTTTACCAAATAACAATTACTCATAGTCAGCCCCCTACATTTGAGAAATTAGCTAACACACCCCAATCAGAAAAAGTTTAAAAGTTAACAAAATACCCCCAGTCACCCAAGACCACCACTGGCCGTGACTCACCACCATTAGCCGCTAGCATCAGTCGCCGTATTGGTGCACGATCGGCAGGATCTGGCTGTTCATTTGTCGGTAAGGCATTTTCTGTGATCCATGGCCGGAAACAACCACATTTGGCAATTCTATGGCCGTGAAATGGTCATAGATCTGGACGTTTTCCTGCCACGGATTTGTGATCCATGGCCATTTCCGGCATTGCTGGTGCATGACCAATGATGCGCCATTCCGTTGACTGGCGCTGGTGGCTGGTTGCCGTCAGTGGCTTAGGGTGGGTGGGGCTGATTTTGCTACAAATTAAAATTTTACATAGTTGGGGTGTTTTAGCAAAATTTCAAATGTAGGAGATTAAAAATGACTCAAAAAATAATAATAATAAATACTATTATATTAATATTTAAAAAGGAGAGCAATTTAGTAGTCTATATAACATACCCACTCATTTATCCTTTCAGCCAAATATATTATTCACCAATTTATTCGAACCAACCAAACATATTTTCTAAACATTCCCGATAATCTTCAAGGTGATTTTTCTTTCCGTTAATATAATATACCCCTATAATAAAACATTATATGATTCAAACGCCCCCTTATAGTTGTTCAATTTCTCTACTATGAATGCATACTTCCTTTTGTTATGTTATAGATAATATCCATAGCATATTGCATGATTTTTAATATTTGGTCAATGACTTCTTTGAATTTCTGTCTAATAGCATGTAGATCGTCTAAATGGATGTCAACTCTTTTGAGAATGTTTGTCAATTCCAGCATTCCTTAAAGAGTATCTAAATCAATTGGGGAAACAAAATGCAATCAAATTTTATAAATATATGAAAACCATAACATGAATTTGTAAATATAATCATAAAACGAACTTTCGACATACCAAAAAAGGCTTTTTTTTTTTTTATGGTTTTTATATTCATGTAAATATGTATTACTGTTTCGTTTGACATTTTGTAATTTTGTGTTCATACCTTTTGCTCCTTTGGTGGATAGTTATTGTTGTTGATGCTATTTGAAGCAATCTAGATAAGTGATTAACGTCGTAGTAACATTTATTAGAGAATAGGATACAAAGAGATGAAACATTCATACCTTCTAGTTACTTTGGTGGAGAATTATCGTTGTTAAAGTTGCTGCTAGTATTCGATGCAAACTCTTTTGCATTGAATACCGGCAGCCTAATTACAGAGATAATATGATCATGGGTTTGTAAGACGCTTCATATATGATTTGTCTTACTCCATTCTTAAATTTAGAACATAATTATAGTACAATATTACTTTGATTAGATTCCCATGGTGAGAAGTGTTTCAATTTGAACACTATAGACTAAGTATTTCAAGCAGCCTAATGGTAAGATCTCAAAGCTTAAAATGCTTCATTAAATTGATGCTTTAATAGACTAATAACATTAGCTAACCCTTAAACAGCGTCAATGTCGCCTGAACTATATCAAAATCAGATTAATACAATAAATGTCAATTTTATGCGTTTTAATAGGACTTATTTCTCTGATTTTTATAACGAACAAAATTTATTATTTTACATCAAAGAATACCGCAATTGAGATGCTCAATTATTATCATTTTCTTTCTTTATTAGATCAGAACTTACAATTGGAAGATTTCTTCAATACTGCTAAGATGTCAACCTCCTTTCTAATGGCTTTTTCCTCTTGCTCACAACAAACCTGTTTACTCCTTTCCTCATTGGCATTATTGATGGGAAATCTTCATCAGGGATCTGGCTCAACTCGGAGATGTCCTTTATCTGAGCAATGCCTCGGAACCACCTCTCTGCCTTCGCCTCCTCTAACATATCCAAAGGGTCTGGTTCCTTCACTGCTGAACCCTCCAAACTCTTCACTCCAGCTATATCTAATTTTCTGATCTGCAGTTGGTTGAGATGCACTCCCAGCTAAGTTGACCATCTTGCTACTCCAGTTGTCAGTCGGTTGAGATAAATTATCATTGCCCATTGGTGGTGGACTATTAAATTTCTGGGTCGTTGGTTGATGTCCCATAAGCTGCACTTGTCTTAAGACTTAAAGTTCTCTCCGGCAGGTTTTGAGTTCCAGCTCATAGAACTGGTTTGCTGCCATCTTCAGTCTACACTCCTAACAATCGATTTCTCTGAAACTTTGCTTCAGCCGTGGTCTGTGGATAATTCTTCTAGATTTTCACTTTTTTTAGCCTTTTTGTTAATCTTGTCATCTGTAAATTCCCCATATTGTTGTAAATTTACAATGCTATCTTATATCAGAATCTAAACAGAAATTCAAAAACAAAAAATCAGATATTGTAAACCTTAGCTACATAATGAGGAGACCAACTTTAATCTATAAAACAAAAACAAAATAAACTATTGCAGGATAACCTGAATGTAAAAATAAAAACTCACAAAGAAAAAACCCTCAGAATCCATTTTTGACCTATTACTACTCAATTTCAAATTTTGGAGTAAATTCCCTCCAAATATCTATGAATAGAATACTCTTATTCAGTGGAAGATGAATGGATCAAAATCGAGCTACATTATGAAACAAATAAAGAAGGGTCTGAACTCAACAGTAACAATCAGCATCCAATGAATGTTACCTTCAGCCAAACCATGTCTGTACCACACATCAATAGCTCAAAACCAAAAGGTAAGTACTGAGTCTATCAGAATTGCTTTCTCTTGACCATTTCATGAAAAGATGGAGAACCCCAGCCAACATCTAGTGTGCTCATATGGCTTCCCATGTCAAATACAGGAACACCTTTCCAATACAAAGCCTCCACCAATTTGGTAACCATAGCAACTATGAAACTATCTTAATAAAAAGTAACAAAGTTTCAATCAACAACAAAACCGAGCAAAAATATGTCAAATCAGATCAAATCTTCTGCAGGCTAAAGCAGAGTCTGCCTTTCTCTATTCAGTTAAGATTAAAACTGTTGCCATGCGTGAAAAACCTAGAATGCTGCTGCACCAACAACCAACCCTTGACCATTCTGAATTCACCTGAATTGACACGAGGAGAATACAACAATGTTGGGCTGGGGATGGTGACATACCTTACAGCCCCATCACTCACCAGGCTACATGTTCCTCTGGTTACAACTCCATGGGCTTCCTCCCGTTATTCACCAAACCCTTGGGAGGATAAAAAGGGGAAACAAAAGGGAACCTATAGAAGTTGGAAATTATGATGTCCCAAAAATCTAAACAGCATTTGCAAACGGAAATACTGGATGACCATTATCCGAATTCATCAGTAAGAGGTGCATACATAATGCTTCTAGAAAAATCTCATTTTACTGTTTTCAATCTTTCCACATAAGAGATCATATAAAAAAATATCTTCCTGCACGAGAACCGATTTCTCTAGATAGCATATACATATCAGGCTTCCCATTAGTCAGTCTCAATCACAGTACACACATAACAAACAGCACAAATTCAGTTAATACAGCCTACATTTCTGTATAGAACAACGGTCTGTAAATTCTAAATCAATTAAGATTCACACATGCACACACCAATAAATAAACAGTTTTCTCAGCATCCAAACAAAAATTAAGACTCAAAACTCACTCATCTTTTCCTCTCCTCTGATAAAATGCCAAAATTAGGGTCTCAATTTCAAACAAAACAAATTCCAAAAAAAAATCTTTGAATCTACAACCTTCCCAACACCACAACACAATTCAAAAACAAAACACTCGATATTACACGCAAAAAAAAAAAAAAATAATAATAATAATAAATAAATAAATAAAGAGCAAAGATCGGATCACGGACCTGAAGGCAGCGACTTCGGCGGTGGCGGAGTTCGCTTCCTCACCAACTCCTCCGGCGACGACACGTAGGACGACTCCGTAGACTGCATTCAATCCTCCTAAACCAAAAACCAATCCACAAAAACCCTCACATCATCAATCAAAACAACCGAAAAACATTCGCCACAAAACAGAAAGCCAAATAAATACATAGAAAACTAATAAAAACAGAGAGAATGCGAGAGAGATTTATGCTTTGCTTAAAGTTGGCGTACCGAGCTTCGAGAAATTGAGAATGCGAGAGTTGAATTAAATAATTGTTAAAAAAAATGAAATCGTTTTTGTTTTTTGGTTTTGGTTTTTGGTTTGAAATGAAATGGAAATGGGGGATTTGCAGCGTGAAGTTGTCGTGCTGTGAAGTGCGTCTGTGTCTGAGTGTGTGGTGTGTTGATTGTTTGTTTTGGATTTGTGTAATAACTATCCATCCACCATGTTCACGTCTTTTTTCTGCAGACACAATCCGTATTAGTTACACAAGCGATCAAAAATAATTAACCAATCCATTAGAAGATTCTTGTAACAGAAAATAATCATCAACGACTTACGAAAGTCATGCTCTATCTTGAAGGAACTTTTAGTCATCTTTGCCAATTGAACTGCAGAACAACTAGAAAACTATCTTAATAAAAAGTAACAAAGTTTCAACCAATAACAAAACCGAGCAAAAATATGTCAAATCAGATCAAGCTAAAAAATAACGAAACCCTAATATCAAAATTCGAAAGGGAATAACAAAAAGAATCCAGAGCAATTACCAAACGCGCTGTTTGTCGCTGATAAAATTAAACAATTGATAATTCAATTTCTAGAAACTGAAAGACCAAATGCGATTCACGAATCAGTTTATCTTCGTTCTGCAACCAAGCAGATGAAGAAATAGAAAATTTAAGAAGATAAAATTAAAGAGACGATGGATTAAATTGAAAAGCAATGATATATAGCTTTGTCTTGCAGTTGCCAGTTGCCACATTCTAAATATGAAGACGCTAACTTTATTTAGACCTTTCGAATGCCTGCACCTTATAATTATTATTATTATTATTATTATTAATTATTAATACAATCTAATAATTTTTGTTAACAATTATAACTTTTGGTCTGATACTAAGCGTTTTAGCTTAAGAAACAATATTAGAACCTGAGTAGAGATTGTTGGCTAGGTGAAACATCATCTTGTTGTGGCAGAGTTCAAAAGGTCGAGTCATAAGGGTTGCACGTTTTTCTAATAACATCATTGTATTGTAGCAAATTCATAGCATTGAAGTTAAATCAGGTATTTAGTGACAAACTCTAGAGGGTCTATACAAAATTTCCCCACCATAACTATGAGATACTTCATCATATAATTTTGAAGATCTAAACCATTGATATATAAAAACAATTGATGTATACTTCCAAATGCAAAGGAAAACAAGAATTTGGAAAGAATCCCATGAAAAATAAATTATGATATTTTGCATAGTTTGGTTTCATATGTTTTGATTCACATCTTCTCTATAGAATATACACATGGACCATTTTGTGGTCCTTGCATACATGCATGTATCGTAAAATACATTCATAGTTCAATATTCATATAAAAGTGATAATACAATCAATTTCAATATAAAATCTCCATGGAATATATGCGGAAGTAAATGACAAACCTCCAGCCATAGCAATTGTTGTTTGTTCTTCTTGCTCCTTTGCAAATTACAAGATCTTCCACTTAGAATATACACATGGACCATTTTGTGGTCCTTGCATACATGCATGTACAAAAAAATATTTGCAAATTTGCAATATTCTAAAATTAGAAAGTTGCTTTCATACTTGTTCATATTTTCTTTTTTCACAAATATTATATGGTGGGAAGTCTCTTTGTTTTCCTTCTGAATTTTATGTGTTTCCTTACAGTATCAAGCCACTATTTAGTAGAATTGGTGTCGGTTTGATAGACTTATTTACTAGTTATAACTTTTCTAATATCAAGGACTCTTCTCAACAAAATTTGTATTATTATTTGATTGCAATTCAAAAAAAGATTAGGTTAAATCACTTTTTGGAAAGATAGATATCACATTATTTTCAAAACAAAAAGAAAAGATCACTGCAAGTGCTTTCATGAACATAGAAAGCAACTTTCTCAATTTCAATCAAAGCATTACAAAAAGAACATAGGTAATATTTAAGTGTTTCAATCAAATCTTACTATATGCATAAATAATTCACTATATAATTATAAAGTTTTTAATAATGATTTTAAACATGATTTTAAACATATATATATATATATATATATATCGAAAGTGGTAAAGTTTGGGACAGGATCTGTTTATATGAGGAACAGAGACCTCCAAGAACAAGAGATAGAAATATTAGTTCACAAAATTCTTTTATTTCCTCCCACAATCTAGATTTAGGCTATTATATAGCCTTACACTTGACTATATTAACTCTCAAAAGGACTCTAATTATAAAGGGATAATAAGATAATCTTAATTCTATCATAATAAAATAATAATATAATTATAAAAGACTTAACATAATCATAAAAGATAATAATAAAAGACTTAACACACTTATCCTAATTCTAATTAACACACTTATCCTAATCCTAACATTACCTTCCCCTTCGCCTTAACCTTGTCCTCAAGGTTGCAAGGTACGACACCATCAACAGCAGTTATCCCGGTTCATCCCTGTGCTCATCATCATCCTCCTCAATCAGCAAGAGAAAGAACTTGGCCGTGCAGCGATGCCCAGGGTGAAAGCACTCATCGCAATTATAGCACAGACCTATGCGTCGTTCTTGCATTTGTGTTGCTGTGAGTCGCTTAACAAACAAGGAATCCGATTTGTTTGGAGTAGGCAAAAGGGCTTGTTGCATTGAAGGAACATTACGAGTTGATTTACTAGGATCGCAAGATACGGGTTCGACAGAATGCAAGTATAGGTGTAGATCCTACAGCTTGTCCTCCTGTAAGCGGGCAAGACTCATGGCATGGTTGAGGGTGTGAGGCCGAAAGGATTGCACCTCCCTTCGGATTTCTGGTTTGAGCCCTGATACAAAGCAACTTTGAAGGAACGTACCTGGAAGGCCAGAAACTTGATTAGAGAGTTCCTCAAATTCTGTTTGATAAGTGATTATAGAACCTGTTTGAGTAAGTTTCGCCAACTACCCTTGGTAATCCACAAATTCCGAAGGCCCAAAACGAACATCTAAATCCTGTAAGAAAGAATGCCAAGAACAGATCTGCCCATTGGAATGCATCCAGCAATACTAGGAGAGAGCTGGCCCATCCATGTGGAAGGAAGAGATCGTCAATCGTTGCTCAGTAGAGATATTATGGTAATCAAAGAATTGCTCGGCTTTAAACCTCCATCCACGCGGATTCGTGCCATCAAAACGAGGGACATCTAAACGGAAAGACTTGGGAAAAAAACTCTCGGAAGTCGATCCACCTCGCCCAGTCAAATCTGAAGATGATTCACCGGAATGTTGGTTTTAGTGTTGGTTTTGATGGTAGGTTTGATCGAACTTGTTGTTTAGAGCTAAAATCTGCAAAATAACATCTTAAAAACCAACTGCCAAAACTTCCAATTTCTCTGTTAAAGAAGTGAGAGTCTCTGCCTTGGCAGATTGTAGAGCCATAATTTTAGCAAGCTGCTCATCGAAAAGACGCAAGCGAGTGCCTTCAGCCATAACTAGGGAACGAGAACACCAATGATAGGGTTTGGGATAGGATCTGTTTATATGAGGAATAGAGACCTCCAAGAACAAGAGATAGAAATATTAGTTAACAAAATTCTTTTATTTCCTCCCACAATCTAGATTTAGGCTATTATATAGCCTTACACTTGATTACATTGACTCTCAAAAAGACTCTAATTATAAAGGGATGATAAGATAATCATAATTCTATCCTAATAAGATAATAATATAATTATAAAAGATAATTATAAAAGACTTAACATAATCATAAAAGATAATAATAAAAGACTTGACACACTTATCCTAATTCTAATTAACACACTTATCCTAATCCTAACAGAAAGTGTTTTTAAAATTCGAAAATACATAATCTTTTTTTTTATTATTATTTTTTTTAATAGTTAGTTCTTTCCAATTTTCACATAGAACTCAAAACAAATTCATAGACAAAGGGTTTAAACTTTAAAGTACTCTTTTTAAGTATGAAGTGTTTGCATATTTTTTGTTCAGGTTTTACAATTACATGAGAGATAATTTGTACATATATAACTCCTCATGATTTATCTGGGGAACTATGACAGTGAGTTATTGTAGGATAGCTCCCCTTGACGATTAGTCAAAGTGCATGTAAGTTGATCCAAACACTTTAGTTATTAAAAAAAAATTATACATATATAGTGAATCCCTATGTATACCCCAACGTATTCTTAAATGTACCCATTTCGCCATTTGTAAACTCTTATCCGGAAAAGGACCGTAGTGGTGTACTTCCAAAGAGAGGGGGTGTATATAGTATTCTTGTAATCCACTAGCCCATTGGTAAAATAGATATCACTTCAGAATTCCCAAGTAGATAGAGGCTAAGGAATCAGCTTCTGCCATCCAATTCTTATTGCTTAAAACAAAAGCCTAAACGTGAAAATCATAAATACCTCTTAAAAAATTATCAATGGAGCATTTCACAACGCCAGATTGGCTAGATTTCACAGTAATCATGACATAAAGACTTCTCTCAAAAATTAAAGAACAAAAGAGTAATCTACTTTCAAATTTGATCACATTATGCCATAACGATATTTTTGTACATAAATTTTAATATTGATATGGTAAACAATGTGGGTTTACACAACTTTTGAGGATTTATATGTTATATGATTAGTAACATATAATCTAGTAGATAGAGGCCCAATAAGTAGTAATTTTACCGCCATTTTGTCTCTCCTGCAAACTTCATTATTATTTAAAAATGCAAACCTCGTTTGGTAAAGGATTTACTGATACTATCTAACACTAAAGATGATTAAAAAAAAAAAAAAAAAAAAAAAAAACACAATTTATTGATATCATCTACTATAACACTAAAGATAAAAATTCAGTCCAGTTCTTTTTGTCTTAACAATTGTAACATTGTCTTTTAGTATTTATTGATACTAAGCTTGAATTTTACAGAAGTAAGAACATCTACACCTAAAAGAGACGATGGAGCGGACATATGCGGAAAACACCTCTTGGACGTTGTCCATTGCAAACCTCTTCGGACAATGCTTTAATTTCTTGCTGTTTTGGATAAGTAAATCAATGTGAAAAAAAAAAAAAAAGACAATAAGTATTAAATTAATTAAATCAAGTAAAATGACAATTTTCTTTTTACCAGTACCAGTAGACTTGATATGGATTTTGAAAAAATGTGGATGTTTGCAATAGAGAATGATTCTATGTACTAATACTTAGTGAAGATGCCGGCAATTACCTCAAGCTCTGGAAAGCCATAGCTTAATATATGTTCGACACTAATATTTTGCCTGTTGATAACCTGAAGGTTGCTTTTATGCTCCAAGTAGATTCTATTTCGTCGTTTTAAAGCTGCAAAAACATGGAGAGGAGTGTTCCCCTTGGCATCCTTCTGATGTATAAGACTCCTAACTAGTGGATTTTGTAGGAGAACATCGACATCTTTTTCATATAAACTCACCATAGCAAAGTGAAGGAAATTCCAACCTCTAGCATCCACCAGTTCATAACATTGTGGAGAATGAAAAATAATTTTTTCTATTACCTTTAGACACCCTTGACTGCTCGCCACATGAAGAGGTGTCATATTAAAATCCTTGTCAGGTATGAATGCAGCAGATTCATCAATTTCTAATAAGACTTGTGCATTGTCAGGAAGATCGTAATATGCAGCATAATGAAGTGGAGTCCACCCATATTGGTCCGTTTCTTTTGTCAAACACTTCTTCTTCTCGAGTATTTCTTTCATGGTTTCTGAGACAAAAAAGACAACAACAAACTAATCAAATAACAAATAATGTTATACATCCAGTTATCATCTCCCAAGTGTATTTAACCTCGACTATCATCAACCTTGCATCTCATTTAGACAAAACATAATCAAACTTTCTGACTCATATATGCTTCCACATGAGTGAATTCAAATCACTTCCTACACCTACGTATCTTGTTCATGCGACGAATCAAAGTATAACCGGCTGGCTAATCTAGGCTGCTGAAATTTCTTGGACTGAATCTTTTTTTTTTAGGAATCACATCTTCCACTCTCAGCTCCCATTTTGATTCCTTGTGATAACACTAGTCCAACTTATTTTGGCTGCTAGATTGTCGATGAACGGATTACTACGTTTCAATCATTTCCTTCTAAAGAAAAACTTGCAAATTGATGCCATGATCAGAGCATTACCTACTCAGCAGATTGTTTCAAGACACAACACATCAATTTCTCTGAAATTCATGTTCCTCTGTTTTCCTATAATTTGATAATAACAACAATTTGAACCAAAATAAACTCACCAAAATCTCTGCTCATGACTGCCGCATGCAAAGCCGTCTTTCCACAGGGTCCTCCGTGGGCCGCCGCTCTGCAGCTTCCTAATATTGCAACCACCATCTCCGGAGATCCTCTAGCTGCAGCAAGGTAAAGTGGGGTTTCCCCATAACTATTAGCAGAGTAAGAAAACTCAGGATCACCTTCTCTCGTTAAAACCTTCACCACTTCCAAGCTTCCATACTGCACTGCCTCATGCAACGCTGCGTTTTCTTCCTTATTAGTCATCTTCAACATCTCCCACACAGGATTCAACCCGCCACTCTGTGAGTCTCCAGGTTGAGCCTTTGAATGCTGAAAAAGAACTTCCACCATAGCCGAGTTCCCGCATTTAGCTGCAACATGAAGGGGAGTATCGCCATTGGCGTTGACTTGCAACAAGAGTGATGGGCATATGGTGAGTATTTGATCAACGAATATGGTGGACGCCATTGCTTCATTTTGGGACTTGATGTTGACATGCGAAATGGTGTCTCCTAACTTTGTTACTACTTGTTTAAGATTTTGAGGGTTGTCCCTGAAGGGTTCGACGTTGCCTTCAACTGCGGCCCTGAACAAATGGGGATCCATGCGTTTGATTGAATAGGAAAAGAATCCAATGCTCTTATGAAGAGAAGAAGATGAAGACCCAAGTCGTCCACTAAAATAAGAAAACACTTCAGTAACTGATTAGTCCTACGACCCCTATAAACCAGAAAATGCCACATTTAGGTCCCTTAATAGGAATTCAAGTATTTTAGTAATTTTTTAATTTAAAAGGGGTTGTCAGTATTTTTATATTCCTCTAATAAAAGAATCTCGATCTAGGGTGAAACCAGAAATTTATTTTTCAGGGTCAACCAAAATTTTAAAATTATATATATAACAACAATCCTTCTATAGTTAAATTTTGAGTGATAAAATAAATGGTAAAAATGTAATTTGATAATATTTATTAACAATTTGAATTTTAACGGTTCACTTTTGATTCATTAACAGTAGGAGAAGTTTTGTTATATAAGAAGCCTTAGAAAGATTATTATTATTATATCAAACCTTAGCGAGTCTAGTTTTTAACTCTAAAAAAACTTAGAAATTGACGCTTATATATATATAATGTAAGTTTTATAATTTTAAAGTAATATTTTATTAAAAAAGAAAAAAAGCAGACGAAGATAGTGCCAACTATACCTGGCAAATGAGTGGGCTAGGTGGGTATGGGTTGGGTCAAAATGAGTACGGGTACAATGGGTTGGAGTTCTAAACGGGTAATAAAATATGAAACTTGTAATCGACCCTTATAAGTACGGGTGGACTCATGGGTCACCCTTTTTTTTGGGTAGATGTGGTGTAACTTATACGAAGTCGCCCGTTTCATGTTTATTCATACTTTCTACATGGACTAATGTTACCACATTTCCATAACTACTTTCTTTTTATACATAACCTTCATTTTCTAAGACAATCCCATTGAATCCTTGTTTTATTGTTTGATTTTAATATTTTGACGATATATTTGGAAAAAGAGAAAAAAGATACCAGTGATTTTCTTTTGCTTTTTGCCTATCAAATATTACTTGGTTCAAAGTCTCATCTCTTTATATTGGAAAGTTGATAAAAGAGGGGAAGACTTGATAAAGGCAAAACGAATTTGATTCAAGTCTACTAATTATTCGCATTAGTTTGGGCTATTACATAATTTATATTAATAAATTATATATTTATAGTTAATGTAATAAGTTTTATATTTTAAAAAGAAGGGAAAACTTGATAAAGGCAAAACGAAATTGACTCAAGTCAACTAATTACTCACATTAATTAGCTTTATTACATAATTTAAGATAATTAAACCAAAATGACTCAATAATTCAATATAATATGGAGCAATCCATGTGAGCATGTCCAATAAGAGAAAAAAGTAAAAACATAAAAAGTAAAGCTAGCTTTAACAATCCCTTTCACAATTTTTATCTTTAAGAGTGAAGAAAATCCTTATCTCCACCGAATCAATACGTAGGATAGAGATTAGATTAAATAATAATTGTATAGTTAAAATATTGTAATGAGTTTGACTAGATCCAATAACGAAATAAACATATTACAACCCAATACCTCAGTCTAGTTTTGGTTGGGTTTACGCTTACATCTACCTTGCTGATTGACCATCCTATAGGATGATCCAATTTGTGAAAAAGAACATTCTATGGGTCGGTCCACTCTATGAGCCAAACCACACCACGAGTTAGCTCATCTCCCTGTGTTGGACTACTTTACGAGTTGGGTCTCTCTACGAACAATGCCACCCTACGAATTGAGTCATCTTGCACTTTGAGCCACTCCATGAGGTGGGCATTTCCTACAAGTTAAACTAAATCAGGCTCCAGCCCATTAACCCACATTCATCCCAAAATAGGAATCATAATCTATTTACTTTCCACTTCAATCAAGATCCAAGATCTTACTTGAATTGCTAATGCTAATCTGATAAAGGCAAGCACTAAGACTTTGTTCCTAATTCGAACTCCTCTACCAAGTAGGACTAAGAGTTATATTAGAATTCCAACATCCTTGATTCACTATATAAATAGGGGCAAACCCTCTTATTATTCATTCAGAAATCACTCATAGCTTTAGCTCCCAAATTATGGCTCTCAACATTTCCATTTTCCCCGATGCAAAGCTTAGTTCTGACTTACTTCACCACCCTCCACCATTACCAAGCTACGCTCCAGTCACTTTGTGTTAGTCTTGCCCTAGCCAGACCGTTACAGTAAACCCATCCTGCTCTCAGTTCTCACTAAAATACATTCAACTGTGTTGACTTGAGTGTTGAAGTGTCTACGACAAACACTACACCACTGTCCCCCGAGCCTTCATGTTCACCCCATTTTTCTGTGCAAGTCCATTTGAGTGTCAATAGCTTGCTTCTCACAACATTTGCCCCTTCCGAATCAATAGTAGATTTTATAGTCTACATAACTATTTTCAAAATATCAATACATCGGATAAATATCATACATAATTAAGCTATTATGACTGAATCTTAAAAATTGAGGATTACTGCTATTTTCTTTTTATATGTAACCTTCATTTTTTGAGACAGTCCCGTTGAATTCCCACCGAGTTCTTACTTTATTGTTTGATTTTAATATATTGGGAAAAGGAGAAAAAAGATATCAGTGATTTCCTTTTGCTTTTTGCCTATCAAATATTACTTTAAGTACCATCTCTTTATATTGGAAAGTTGATAAAAGAGGGGGAAGGCTTCATAAAGGCAAACCGAAATTGACTCAAGTCTACTAATTAATTACTCGCATTAATTAGCGCTATTACATGATTATAATTAAACCAAAAGACCCAATAATTCAATATAATATGGAGCAATCCATGTGAGCATGTCCAATAAGAGAAAAAAGTAAAAACATAAAAAGAACTAAAGAAGAGTTAACTTGACCAATCCCTTTCAAAAGTTTTATTTTTTAGATTGAAGAAAATCCTTATCTCCATCGAATCAGTACACAGTATAAGGATTAGACTAAATAATAAATTTATACAACAATCATCTAGAAACCACTCTTTCTAAATCTTCGCCAACAAGAATTTCTTTGTGATGAAGGTTTTTTGATAAAAGTTAAAGACTAAACTATTAAATTCATATTTTAATCTAATAAAATTCTCTTTTAAATAAACCTTATAAGAATATTAAACATATTATTAAAATGAATAGTAATATCCTCTTTTTTTTTTTTGTTTTTTTTAAATTTTTTTTTTTTATAGACACTATGAATATAACCACATCCACCTAAAAAAAATGGGTGGAGAGGCACGGATACTATTGCCACGGTCTTAAATATATTAATCTATGCTCGCTAAAATGCATGGGTACGGGTATGGATAGACTATGGGTACAGTACCCGTTTTGCTGGGTCTAGTGCCATTTATGAATTAACTTATTTCAAGATTGTCGGAAAGTGAAATGAAGTGTTTTGGATTCAAGGAATTTAATAAATGAAAAAACGGTCAGAATGGAAAAAAGAAATGGTGAATTTTAACAATAATGTTTGTTTTATATAAATGTAATTCAAACATTTATTTATTATATACGTTTAATATCATTTAATAGGATTATGAGAATTTTTTTTTATTTGGAAAATTAAGTTATTATCATAATTTTTTTATTTTCACAAAACCTTACTTGAGCGGCGGTTTTATGTTTATTCTTTTAGGAAGTGTTTGCTGTCTTCCCTTTAAAATCTTTTATAAAGACAATTTAGATTTTTGAAAAAATAAACAATATAAAAATATTTCGCACTAATTACTTTTTAGTTTATTTCATATACCTCCTACGGGATTTGTTTAATTTGAGCATACCACTAGTATTACGTAAAAATTCACCATTTACACTATCAAAATGATCCATAGTTGCATTATACCCATTTGAACAAATTACGCAAAAATTTGTTATAAAATGATGTTTTACATATCGACATCGTATCTAGAATCATCTGGGATCTGAAATCGGGATACAAACTTGAGTACATAATATTATTCGATAACAAAAAACAATGAAAGTGTTATATCGGTCATTAATCAATTGATTTCTTCGGTCGATGAAGAAAACCCACCGAGAAACTCTGATCTCAACTGCATCAGCAGCCTGCCCAGATAGGTAGGCCTTCGCCCTCACGGCCGCCACCCCAGAAAAGATCATGTGGTGAAGCTTCAACAAGAATGGAGCCAGCAGTTGAGAGAAGCATGGAGTTCAAATGAGGATAAATTGAGAATTTGCATTTCAGTGCCTTGTACATAACATCTATCTTCACACTTCCCAATCACTTCTCACCTGTGCATGGACCACCGGTGTTAGCTCCCAGAAACTCGGTAAAAATATTATCTCTAAGGTCCATTTTTTTTCTAAGATTTCATCCTCAGAAGTAGGGATGGCAGAAAAAACCGGTCTTGCAGGGCAGGGAATCCCAGAAAGTCTGGGGTTGCGGGGTGGAAAGCCGCAAAACTCAGCCATGTCCCCGGTAAAAATGTATATATATTAAATATATAAGTTAATTATAATTAATATTCATTAAAAAATTAAAATAATAAAAAATCTGGGGATACTTGCCCTATCCCGGCTCCAAAAGTTCCGGGGTTGCAGATGAATGTCCCCGACCCTGTCCCTGGAAATGCCAACCCTACCCAGGAGTCTGTTCAAAACAGAAGAAAACTAGACACGCATATGTAAAAGTTATCGTGCAGATGAACATACCGATCAGGACGGTGCCTCTGCATCCACCTTCCTATTTTGCTGCTTCCTCTGGACTTCTCACAGCTTTTATTTTTACATACAATCTAGTGCTGCAGGGTCATTCACACCAACAAACTTCTGCGCCTAAAAGTTCAAAAGATTTTCGGCACAATATTGACAGATTTGGCAATGGAAATGAATTAAACTAGGAAAAGGCAGCTACCTGATAGTAATGTTCTACACCTGACAAGTGACGAATCACCACCATTATCTGGCATTTGAATTGGATGTGGAGAAAAATTCGAAAAAGAACCATAAGGATCCCATGTCTTGTAGAAGGATATGATGCTTGATTCGTAAGGAGTGACGGAAGGATCAATTGCAAAAGTTTCATCACAGATGGGATGACAGGCGTTAGGTCTGGTACGGGCTGGAAATCCTAACGAGCATGTCAGGTCCAACCTGAAAGTGCCATTGGGAATTGGACTTAAGCAATGAAACTGTGCCAGTTTCCATAGAGTAGTGAACGTTCTTGAGAAAAAATTTGGTAACTTAGTATGTATCTATGTAAATCTTGCTGGAGATTATATCATTACGATGATATATATGTAATTACCTTAAAAAATAATATAATCATAATAATACCTCCTCATTTCAGTAAATGAAAAACAATTTATCAGTAAGCTTAAAATGCAAAATTCCCACAACCTGCTCATAGCAAACGTCAGTTAAATCTAATGCCTGCGACATCTCAACCATCCCAAGCTCACACACTGGTGTTGGTGCTCTTTCCTCCAATAATTTTGGGGGCACAAAAGCAAAAACCTGCAGTAAGTACATTTAAAAAATGGGAACCATAAACGAAAGCCAATAATAACTAGTTGTCCCAGTTTTGGCTAAAACTAATCCAAGTTCCCCAGCAAAGTAATAAATAGAAGAGAAAGAAGAGGTTGATTCAGACAATCAGAGTTACTTCCTAACCATAAAAGCACACACAGAGATATACAAGAAATATAATTTTGACACATATGGAAATTGGAATCATGCGGAGGACAAGTAAACCAGCTTTGTCATTTTCTTTTGCTCCCTTTATGGTAGAAAATCAAAGCACAAATGAACAGAGTACACAGTTTCATAATTATAATTTTTTTTTTTTTTTTGAAAAAAAAAAGAGATGAAAAAGATGCAACAGTTAATTCGGCTGTTAGTGGCCAATGGCAATAGCTAACATATGGTCAGAAGATCTAAAATTAAAGATATAAGTAATACATGAAAGATGGCAGAGCCTATAATTAGCTCTAAGCATCAGGCTTATGTATTTCAAAAGCAGTTCACATCGTAAAAAGATAACGTGAAAATTGAGGATAACTGCAATATGTTCGATATTGCAGAAGCACAGCTATGCAGTCACCCAGAAATCCAGTTCCAGTTAAAACAAATCAAGATGACAGTATGGTGCAGCAGAACTAAACAAGATGTTAAAAGGCATACTGACTACTTTCTATGGTGTCTGTCTGAGAAGTGGTGAACACAAAATTCCATAATAACATGTATTTAAGTAAAATTTATTCAGTAATTGTCATTCAAAGGTGGCATATATAGAATTAAGATCAAATTCAAGAGATAACAAAAAAAAACTTGTGTATACTCCAGATGAGATAGCAGATGCACGCCAGTTTCCTCCACACTCCCACAAATAGAAAGTACCCACGGTCATGAAAATATTCCATAACATCTCTAGGATTCAAGATGTCAAAATCCACTACTTCAACTCCTTCAGATGCAAGAAATTTCTGGAAGTCCTCCTCGTCCCCTTTGTGTTACAACTATGGTAGTACATCGGAAACATCCCAAAGGTTTGCTTCTCAGGAAGATTAGAGATTGCGTCACAATTCGCATCGGCATATGCCCCTCCATGTCTTGCAGTTAGCCGAGGATTACCAACATTAAAGCAAACACATTAACAATCCTATCATATTGTTGACGATGATGACGATGTAGTTATGTAGTATCTAAGATTATACTTACTGTCCCTACGAACAGTATTTCCACCAACTACAATGGCATCACTTCGACCCCGCAATTCAAAAACTCGGTCCCTAGACTTTTTGCTGCTATCCATGCTGCATGCCCACTGCTAGCAGCATTTTCCCTGATAGCATCCAAGTGAACATCAGCAAGTTAACTTTAAAGACCTATTTACATAGACAAGAACCTGAAAAACACTAAAGAATTCATCAATTCCTACTACTCACCATCAAGGGTCATAGCATACTTGAGAACAGAAAAGGGAACTCGGAAGTGCTCTATGGATAAAGGAGCATTGACAAGTAGGCATGATTTTCGAGCTCCACATTTTGAAATGTTAAAGGGTAAAGAAACAGCACATAACAATATTATTTTTCAATTTAGTATTAAATCCTACCTCTATAATTTTACTTTGTAAATCCTCTCCAAGAACATGAACCTGGCCCTTGACTTCTTAATGCACGTACAGCATTGCCTCTAAGATGCTGTAAAGGATTCCTGATCCCAACAACAACTCTTGTAATTCCTGCCTAATCTATGTACAATGTCAATAATTAAACATGAACATTACAACAAAACCATGGAAACCTTTTAGAAATCAGATAGTTCCACAAGACCTCAATTTTGCAGATCATTTGAGAATAATGATATCATCAAACTTTCAAAACCCATAACTAAAAAAAAAAACTACAACTGATTTTCCCCTTCACACAACCAACACAAACTAGAAACGTGACTCCAAAATGACAAATACGAGTCGGAAACCAACGAGCCTAAACTATATATAATATGCAGAACTGATTCATAACCATAACCACCATCCATCACCAATCACATTCAATCCCACTTCAAACTTTCGATTCCTATATATATATATATATACACAGACACATATTCCCTTATTTACCTGTCTATTACATTTAAACTTTTACTTTAAAAAAAAAAGACAGAGAAATAGAACTACGGATTTTCCACAATGCTTTTATGTTATGACTTAAAGTTGGTTTGTTCAGCCATCTCATACAGTTTTTTTTTTTAATCTTCAATTTTACAAATTAAAACCAAAAACCTTGGCCGCCTACTAATGTAGGCAGGATTATATATAATGCAAATGTTTGATGAAAAATCTTATCAACTCTGCATTTAAGAATTGCGAGAATTCAAGTCTAAAATTTTACTACAAACACAGACGTTCTCGCCGAACTCTTATAACTTTTGCATATAAAACTTGGGAAAGTTTTAAGTCAAAATTTACAAAAAGAAATATGCATATGTTTGTAACATCAGAATTAATACGGACTTAAAAATTAAATCTAAAAGTTTTCCTGCAAAATTTCAAGAAACCTATCACTCAATCTTCAGAGTATATAGAGAGAAAAAAAAAAAAAAAAAAGAAAAGCATGAAATTATGAAAGAAAATGAGAAAAAATGAGTGAAAACCTGAACGAGAGCTGAAACCGCAGTGTTGTCGCGTGCAATCTCCGGGCTCAGGTTGAGATAACGCGGTAGCGCTTCTACACCACTCACCTCCGGCTTCCACGGCCAGCACCTCGGCCGGTTTCGTCCCCTGCGCGTACAGATATCCCTCTCCCGCGACCTTGCCGGTGGAAGTAGCGATCACGCAGCCGAAGTTCGGATGCGGCGAGGTGAACCCTGCCGATTTGTCTGCTAAGTCTGCGGCGCGTCTCACGTACGCCGCGTCCTGCGCGTGCCCGTCGAGATCGGCGCCGAGTTTGCACATTAACGGAGCGGCGTAAGCTCCAAAAGAGAACGCCATTTGTTTTTTCTAGAAATTAAAAACTGATTTCTTGTTTTTTAATTAAATGAAGAGTTAATTCAACCGTTGAGCGATTTAAAAGTACAAAGGGCACACAGCGATAATAAAAAACTATCGAATACCCCCTGCCGTTTAAACGCCGTTCACTTAATTCACATGAAATGTACTGAATGACTATTATAAAAAAGGAAAAGGAAAAGTAAACAAGAGGGACTAATTTTTTCAGCACACGAGGGCTCTATAAGTTTTGTAACCTTCAAAAAGACCCCTCTGTATGAAGCACAAATTCCTGTAAGTTTGAAAACATGTAAGCAGACCCCTATAATGAGTATAATCTGGGCTTCTTTAGTTTGGGCAACCCTTTCAAACAACCACCTGCCACAAACTAAGCCCACAAACTCAACCACACTCTAAGCCCGCAAACTTAGCCACTATTGCTACGTAAATTTACAACAACTAAGATACTCAATTGACCTTGATGGAATTAAGTAGGATCTTCTCATTGATTTTAAGGGATAATGCTTATCTATGATCTAGAAGATAAATGCCTAACAGGTTGCTCCCACTTGATCACCACTGCGTTATTTGATCCGAGTTGCTATTTGCTTTAAGCTAATCGCGCATCCTCGCACAACAACCACAATTCGGCCAATCCTACAACAAGCAACCTTTTCTACTGTAAAACATTCGATGCTTCACATGGAATAAGATTTGTAGCGGTGAGTTTTCATTTAGGAGGGGAGGAAGAAAAAAAAAACAAAAAAGATTTCTTTGTTTTTGTGATCTTTAAAGACTAAAATGCCCTTCTTTAGGTTGGCTTTGGTTTAGTTAAAAGCAAATGGCGTTATGATAATGACAGCAGGGGTGTTTTTAATAGTTTTCAATTATGGCTGTGCTGCAACCTGGTAATCAATCGATTTTTGTGCAAAATATTTTCACGCGTTTTGTCTTTTACTTTGATTTTGCTATGTCGGTTATATATTGAATTAATTTTCAGTGCGTCGTACGCTTAAAATATCTGAGAACGGAGATTGCAAAATTAAACGACACATCATCTAGATTTGAAACTGGAAGCCGCTGAGAATGACTGGTTGGTGAGGACGACAAAAGACATATTAATGAAAATATCCGACTAATCATCAACTTAATACATACATACATATTAACGAAAATTCATCCAACCATATTTTGACACATCATTTCATATAAAAACCTTCTTCTTTTTAAATATATTATTACCTTATTATTTGACAACCGACGCACACAAAAATATTAATGTCTAATCATTAAAAATAAAAGATCATGTCAAAAAAAATAAAAAAAAAATTTTGCAAGAGAACTCTATTCCAAGCAATCTAACAGAGACTAAACTTTCAGGCTCCAGCAATCAAACACAAAATGAGAGAGAGAAGATAAAGACAAGTACAAAGTGACATCGATTATTGGTAGTAGTAGTAATAGTAAAATGATCCAGAATGGTTTGATCATATAGGGTTTAACAGGAACCAACCACACACACCAAATGGAAGAGTTTTTTTATGAGAGTTGATATTGTCAAATAGGCTTCCTTACTAATTATAATAGAAAACAGAAAGAACAAGGATTTCATTTGAGTGTCATCGTTGTCATCGCCATCATCACCATAGGCTGCAACTTCATTCCTCTTCTTCTGCTTCTTCCAGCCACTTCACAAATGGCTCCAGAGCCTTCACAAAAGTTTGCCTGCAACATTTTTCACAAAACAAGTCGTTATTTTAAGTTGTAGAACAAGATAATAGTATAGGCAAAGAATGATTGATTAAGAGAACATATATTGTTCTCTTTGATACGGCTCTAGAGCCTTCACAAAGCTTTTCTTTATTCAGAACTACAAAAATATGATAAAATTATAAGAATAATAGAGCTAATAGAAGTAAAGCTCTGATCAAGTTAAGGGTATCTTCAATAAATTTTTGGTTTTTCGTTGTGTAAATGTAAAAACACTTCTAGTTAAGGGATTTTCTTATAAATTCAGAATAAAAAGTAGAGTTTTTTAAAAGAACATATGGGTATCTTCGATATTTTGGTCGTTTTGTTGAGTAAATGTAAACGCGCTTCTAGTAGTAAAGGGATTTTCTCATGAATTCAGGAGAAATGTTGAGTTTTTTAAAAGAACGTAAGGGCATCATTGATATTTCAAAAATTTACCATGCTCAAAAAGAGCATCTTGTTAAAGTGCTAATTTCTGGGCTTTTTCTCAGTAGATGTAAAACTCTTTTGGACAAAAGATAACTAGAAGTCCCGGCAATAAGAATACCGTATAACTCATGAACCAAAGAGATTACCCCAACATTTAAGGGAGCTTTTAATGTAGCGACAGCAGACTTAAAAATAAAGTTCCATACCTGCCCTTAGGGTTTGTTCCTTTGCGGAACCAGTAAAGAACTGTGTCCTCGGCAAGCACATCCTGGTCATAGAGAGACCTAATGATCTCCGGAAAGAGCTTCATCAGCTTAGCATCCTCATAGCATTGCATCTGCACTTTGTACATCAGTTCCAGCTCAAGTTTTCCGTTGGTGCAGAAGATGTTTAACAGTTCTGCCCATGTTTTGACCTGAACCATTAAACAGTGTTATCGATAGATATAATTTAAGTCATCGTTTATACAGAGATAGCCAACTATTTATTCGTAGTTATATCCAAGTCGCCAAAAACTACTACTACTTCAAAAACCAATAACACAATACAATTTGATGTGGGTCTGACAGAATGTTTAAATTTTTTTTTTTTTTTTTTTTAAGTAATAAACAATAACTTGGTATCAGAGGTTTACAAAACATAACAAGATGATAAAAATTTAAAACACCATTGATGCATGTGCCTAGCCATATCATGAGCAAAAATATGCTTGGGAAGGAAAAATATCCGGCCTGAAAAGAAAAAATGCTCAAGCCATTTATACAATCAAATTGTATAGATATAAAGCTCACCTGGCGTAGAGCTGAATTAGCATTCTGCTGCTGGTTCTTCCCAGACCACTGAACTGCGTCCATCAAGACATCCCACAGTATGCGCACGACCTCAGTGTCAGGTAATTTAGCTTCTTTGACGCGTTGCTTCACAGTTTCTATAACTTCAGACATTTCAGTCTCCTCTGCTATTTGGGTTGTTATTGCAGATTTCATATCCTTCAGTCTCACTTCAAATATCTTCTTCTCATTGTACTCAACCAAGGATGTCAATCCTTCCTTGCTAAAAAAGGCAATAATTAGACATAAATAAGTTCGAAACAATTGTCAAAGGAATACTAAATGTTCATAGATATAACAAATGCTTCAATTGACAATCCAATAAATTTCATCGAATTAAACTGCATACTCAACTGAACATTACATGTAGTGACAAACTCAAGCAGTTGCGACACAGATTTTATACAGAAAGAAATAGATTATCATGCAAAACCTTCTAATTTCTATGTTTCACCGGTAATGTTCTGAAAAAGGACACCTATTATTTGCAATGGTCATTTTCAGCAACAGAAAAGAATAGACCTGTAATTTTCTCCATAATAAATATAACTTTTTAGAATAATTCAATAGCCTGAGTCCCTGACCACGTAAAAGGAACAATCATAACAAAGTTAAAAGATTCATAAAGCCTGATTTTTTTTCACTGGGCAAATTTCAAAATTAGGAAGTCAGAATCAGTTTCGTATACATAATAAAAAGATGAAATATTCATTTGGATATCTATAGCATTTCATGAATCTGTTTGCATGCTAAGTGCATTAATAGACTGCTTCAATTCATGCCACAAAGTTTCAAGCGCATTGTGCTAAACTGCTGTAACGCGTACAGATTTGCAATTAAGAAATGTAAAAGATATATTAAAAGATAATCAGCAACCGAGCTATCAGAAAACTCACGTGAAATGCTCGGAAAAACCTTCAGGAGACCGCTTCCCAGAAGGGAAGAATTCCAGGAGATTGTCCTCCATCTTACCACGTTTCAGAATTGAGATTAAATCATCAAGGCTATTATCAACCAGATACTCCTTAAAGAAGTCTGTTACGAATGTAAGAACTAGCCCTTTTCCAACGAGATTATCCTTAAGGAGTGGCTGGAACACAGTCTCTGGAGGAAGCCCTGAGAGCTTCTGGGAGAACGCAAGTGCTGTGAAAATAGCCAGCTTCTTCCTTTCATTTTCCTCGAAAAGCTCCAAGGACTGCAGGAATCTTCGCGTAACATTTTCGAGATTCTTTATGAGAAATGGCCTTCGCCGCAGGATCTTTTGTATGTAGATTACAGATGGTAAAATGGCTTCACGTTGAGGCTCACAGTCTATTATGGAAAAGGAGTGGCGCTCACCCTCATCAGGTTTAGTTGTTCCGGGTTGTGTACGACCTCCTGTGAAAACAACCTGCATTTATATAGCAAAATAGCTTGTCACAACAGAAATATCAAAAGTCAAACTAAGTTAAAATAAGCAAGTGATTCAATTAGATCAAATATGAATAGCTGCTCTATAAAAACATGTCAACAAAAAGAAAAAGAAAAAAATATTAATGATCGTTATCCAACTAAGAACACTGAAATCTAGCATAGAACACAAATTAAGCCAAAAACGTTGTTTTGTCAAATTGAGATTCCTTTAAAAGGACAAGTAAACTCCTCTTCTCACAGGAAACCATAAGTATCTTTTGAGCTTAGTGTAACTTCTGACTCAGAAAACACCATAATTGCAAATAGTTTTTCAAAAGAGAGTCAACAGTGTTCCTGCACTATAACAAGAGCTGTACTAACTTAACATGGAAACTTAATTCCGTATCTTAAATAAATCAACCACTACCCTTAAAGCAAAACCCATCAACCACCAACTTTGCATTGTGAAAAATTTCAAGGTTCTAGTTTAACAGCATCCAAGTTTCCGCCCTTCTCAACTGCACGTTAACACTACCAAGTAATGATAACTTTTTCTTTGTAACTGAAAGATAAACAAACATTTGATAATTCTATAAATATCAAGGAACTTGCCTCAAAAAAGGTGTCACCGTATCTTGAGAAGTTAAGGTCAGAAGATTCGAGGCTCTTGGCAACAAGTTCCTGCACATACCAAACATTCAGTAAGCATTACATCACCAACACAAAAGTAATGTCTTAGACAAGATCGTAAATTCATTTGTAAACATTACCAGATCACCAGCATTATCCAGATATATCTGGACCACTGCATCCGAAAACGCTGCAGGGTCCAGAGGCGCTGCAATGTTCCGTTTGCGGGGCTTAATCCGCGTTCCACTATACAAAAATACATACAAAAACAAATCATATCACATAAAAACTTGTGGCAAACATGCTAAAAGCTTACAATACCATCTAATGAATTACTCGATTTTATGCAAATTTGTAACACATAACATAAACATAGAGAATCCATTTGAAATGATAAATATATGAATAAATAACAAAACTTACCCAAGAGTGGGTCTCTCCTTCGAGCTGAAAAGGATCCACATCAATATTAAAATCAGTAAATAATAATAAAAAAAAATATAAATCCAATTCAAATAAATCAACAAAATAATACAAAATTATAGGACATAATCAGATCAAAATAAGCATCAAATTGAGTAATAAATAAACAAAACCCTCGATTTACAAAAAAAATCCAAATTAAGTAATAAATAAACAAAACCCTCGATTTACAAAAGAAAATCGAAATTAAGTAATAAATAAACAAAACACTCGATTTACAAAACAAAATCTACACTTGTACGATCCAAAGAACATCAAACTAAAATAACACCCACAAAATAAATTATCCATCCCAAGAAAGGAAACCATTACCCAAAAAGCAAAAAATCGTAAAAATTAGCACCAAAAATCGATCTTTTTAAGCAATAAACTAACAGATCTAAGCTAAGATCTCAAACTACCAATAATTTCTACAAACAAAAATAACACTTGCAACATACCCACGTAAACAAAGTTAAAAAAGACTGAAATTTTCTATAAAAAAACAACACAAGGCCGCCGAACAAAGACAGCGACGATTTCAAAAATATCTTATCAAAACGGCGTCGTATCACGCTAAAATGATAAACCTAGAAAAGGTTAGAGGGTTACCTCATAAACCAAGATGAAGAGGGATCAAGAGTGGGGAGAGAGATACTCTCTCTGCAAATTGAGAGTGAATTTGAGAGAAAAAAAAGAAGAAGAAGAGAAAAATGGGAGAGAGGGTTGGAATTGTGGTGGGCTTCGACAAAGATTATTATTATATAATAATGATTAAAGTACCAAGATATTTCATGTAGGGATTTTTTATTCACTATATGTCCCTCAAGGTTTTGTGACGTTACATTTGCATCCCTAAGTGTTTGATAATGCGAAATTCTGATTTATGGCCTGAAAATTAATTTTTTAAATTTTAGATATAGTTTAAAATTATTTTCTCTTAAATATTTTTATTATCAAAAGTCATCGAATTTTATATTAATATTTAGGGTCATACTCACAGGATTATTAAAAAATTATTTCATTCAAACACATTTTTACAAGATTTCTTATTTTTATAATAATAAAAGTAATAAGATTTTAAATTTATGGATTTTTTGCATATTTACATCCGTGGGAGTTCTATGAAGTTACATTTGTATCCTGAAGAGTTTGGAAACATATCCATTTGTTTGGCAATAAAAATTGGCTTTAACCATCTAATATTATAAATTTTCTCTCATAATTCCAATGTGACAATTTATAATTGGGCAAACGAAACTTATTGCAAATTATCACGTCGAAGTTGTAAAAAAAAATTTGTGAAATTGGGTTGTGAGTGTAGTATTGTCATTTGTTTGGTTTATGATTTGAAAATAATTTTAAAAAATTTGAATATATTTTGAAAGTTGTTTTATTGTGTTCGGCCTTGATTTTGTAAATATGAGTTAATGATATTTATGCCCCTTGAGATATGATATAATAATAAAATCTCTTTGAGGTATTCGGAATAACATAAATTTCTTTTCCTTTAAGTTTTACTTTTAAGTATTAAAATAAACAGTTTAATGGTACCCTGATAATATTTACTAACTTATAACAATATAAATTTTAACTAAGGATGTTCAGTTTCGGGTACCCTGTATTTTTTTAAAGAACCGAAATCGACGGTTCTTTGAAATTTGGAACCAGAATCGGAACCGATAGTTCCTGTTCCTAGGTATTCAGAACCAGAACCTGTAACAATAGTTCTAGTTCCAGTTCTGAGTGCCCTGTAAAATTCATGACCCCCCAAAAGTTTTTAAAATAGCAAAAAAAACCTTTAAAAACTTACAAATACCCCCTGGCACTTGTTAACAAAAATAAAATTATAAATTCAAAATTACAAATTACAAATTACAAACTTCATTACTTTGTAAAGGTAGATTCTCAAAAGTCAAACCAACTTACTTTAAATGTTATGAAATATAAATATAAATATATTCACATTACTTTTTCTACAAAAGTTTTTATTAACCCCCCTAATCTTTAATTTTATTTTATATTAGTCTCAGTTCCTGGTTCCTAGTTCTGATTCCAGTTTCTAACTATAGGAACCGGAACCGTATAGTAACGGTTCAAAAAATTTGGAACCGGAACCTACCCATTGACGGTTGGTTCTGGGTAGGAACTGGAACCAAACCCTGGGTACCTGCCAGTTCCGGTTCCAACCGGTTCTTTTGAATACCCCTAATTTTAACGGTTCGGTAACAGTTCAGTAATAACTAGGGGATTTCTGTTATTTTGGAAACCTTAGAGGGATTTAACTCAAGAGGATTAATTTCATTAATATAGTTTTTATTATTAAAAGCTATAGAAAATTAAAAAAAAAAAAATTTGTTTTTTCCCTTTTTTATAATTCTATATTAATGTTTAGGCTTGTGCGTGAAAACTACTGAAAAATTGTTTCGACCAAAACATAATTTTGCTGCTTTTCTTAAATCTCTTATTTTGACGTTGAAAAAAATGCTTCAACCAACCATACTTTTGTTCGATTTATTTATTGTCAATCGTGTTATCGAGGATGATTCTAAAGATTCAAAAAGTTAAAAAATATATTATTTTCTTTAAATTTTTTCAAAAATATTTGCAAGTAAATAACTATTATTGGTCAAGACACCTCGAAATTTAGAGTCAATTGATTATTATTTCATTATGACTAGGGAAGTTTATTTATATTTTCTAAACCTATGAGAGAAAAGTGTATTTTCATAACCCTAATTTTACGGTCTATTTACCCCCAAAGATTTTGAGAAATTCATTGTAACACCTTATTGTTTAGAAAATGGCTCTACCTTGGGTCAAATTCCAAGTAGATAAAACATTATAATAATTTTTCAAAAAGAGAAAAATTTGTGAAAAAAAAAAAAAAGAGAAAATAATAATGATTTATGAATTAAAATAGTTAATGAAGATTATTGATGTAGATACTTACACCAACTAGAGATACGCAATTGACTGTGTTAGAAATATGTAAAATGTTGGTGTGATCCCGGTGGATCAACAATGAAACAATACAAGGGTAAATATGCAAGAGTTAGCACAAAAAACAAAGAATCAAAACACTTTTTAAAATTATTCAGCTACTCGTAATGCAAGGCCTACATCCACCATTATGTTAATGAATATAATTCGATTTACAAAGATTCAGCAGTTTATCTTTTTGCGGTTTGTTTCTTATCCCTATAAACATATTACAACTGGATTTATATAATGTCAATTACATCGTTAAGTTGGAGATAAACTCAAATTCGATTAGATGAGAAGTTAAGTGATCTTCAACCTTGATTATATGATACATATAATGAGATATCAACATGCCAACTGAGGATTTATCCGCTCCGGATTTCCCCCACAACAAATATCAAGCTATAAAGGTTGGTTTATCAAATACAAATAAATAAATAAATAAAAAGAATTGTTTTAAAACGCGGACCGGAGAGCAACCCGCTCTGCTGCTTGGGTCACGGGTCAACCTGTTGGACCGATGACATCATCATGCTGATGTCAGCACTATAAAAAAAAAAAAAAAAAAA